CCGCCGCCGCCGCCGCCGCCGCTCCCGCCTGCAGGACGTGGAGGCAGGGATGCTCCGCGTAGCAGGGCCGTCTCTGCCTTGCTTCTCGGCCCCAGCACAGCGGAGGGGCTAGAGCTTCATCCCCCTTTTTCTGTAGTCTTGAGTCGGCCCTGTGCTGGCCTGGGGAGGGGAGACGGGGGAGGGCTGCTGCCGACCACCGGGCTCTGGCTGCCACACGTGCGTTTTTTGTTTCTTAGGAGCCAGCAGAGTTGAGTCAGGAGCTGCTGATGGCCATCAACAGACTCCCAAGGTGGCAGTGTCTTTCTCCAGAAGTTGACTTACACCCAGCTAGGCATTGGTCGATCCTCCCTTTTTTTTAATTTTCTTCTTACTGCGTTTTTTTGTTTTTGTTTTTTTAAATTTGATCCACTGAGAAATGATCCAGCTGTTTACAAGGACAATTCACTGTGCTGGTATTTTGGTGGCAACCACTGCTACAGGCTTTCAGACTTGCTGAAAAGGAAAATCCTACATACACATTTGTAAGGCATAATAAAACATAACAGTAAAAACCTGCATGCATGTTATGTTTAATCAAAGAGAACTCTTAGGCATTTAAGTGGTGAATATCTAGGTTAGTTAAATAAGCTGGTAGTAAAATGATTAATATAATCTGATCTCTTATAATAAGAATAATAATATTAATGATAATAAAACACCACTCATGATTCTAAATAAAAGTTTGTTTGGCCTAAATCTTTACTTTGAGAAAAGACATATAGCATATCTTGGGACCTAAATTTATGTCTTGCATTGTGATGATTCTTTATGAGAAACTGTGTTTTAAAACAAACCGAAGTCCAATACACAAAATATCCTTGGCAATGGATAGTCCTCAATAAAGCAGAGTTTTTGAATTTTCAGTTTTTGGTCTCAAATGATTAGTGCGTTCTCCATATAATAACTTAGAAATTAGGTTGAAAACAAATGACATTTACCTCTTCTAAGGCAAAAAAAGGAAGGAAAGAAAGAAAGAAAGGAGTAAAGTGCTCTAACCTAGCTGTCCTGCTGTTGAAAACTAATTCATGGGCTAGGGTGATGGCATGAGTTGATCAGATTCCCATCTTTTAAACCTGAGCCAAAATTCTCTTAGTAATTCTTCAAATTATCATGAGAGGATGTGCGGACGTTTTCTTCCAGTCCCTTCCTTCTGATATGCATCCTTGTGTATTAATAATAGGCAGTGTAATTGAACATTTGTGCTTTGCAAATGTTCACTGAGTTATGAATGATTATGGTCAAAAGTAGGCTGGATTTAGTTTGTAATAAGATCTAGTTGTCAGCCCACAAAAATTTTGACACACAGATTTTTGGAAGATATTTTTAAAATTACCATTTTAAAAATATTAATTAAGGATAACTAAGCTATCAAAGTATAGAGCAGTCAGGCAGGTCTACTTTAGTTGAAGGAATAAAATACCCTGTCAAAAGAGAGTCTGGGGTATGTCTTTTGTCCTTTTTTGGGAGGGAACTCTACGATATATGAGAGAGATATATTGAGTAAAGGTACAGTGTATAGAGAAAGAGTCTATCATTTTTGTCCAGAAAACTTGAGTTTTTTTGTCCATTTTCAGAGCTTAACTTTACATTTGTGCCCCAAGCAAGCCACTCCCTCTTTTGGGGCTAGAGTTTGCTCTTGTTGAAATCAATGCCTAGCTCCTACTGACTTCTGTGAGAGTAAGAGCAGTCTTATAGTTGCTGGAAGATCACATTAGTTAGGCAACTCTCACACTTTTATCTGTTTTCCCAGTTCTTTACTTTCAAATGTAAATATAATTCTTGTGGACTGCCATCTTGGAGCAATTGTTCTGGTCCAGGGTTTGTATCACCTCTCTCCTTTTCGTTAGGTCTTGGACCATAGTTCTCTAAGTGT